GAAAACACAAYTCCTGCTGGCACAGAGATTGGAATGTGCCCCTGTGCGGCCGTTCTGGGCAATCACAACTGACAGACAGGACAAGAGCTGGAGATTGGATTTGTTTTTCTCCATGCYTAGAGAGGTGTGACGAAAGAAAAAGGAAAAAAAAAATAAGAGCAAGAGTCAGGGTTTCCTAAATGATCACTGCAATTCAAGGAARTGGAAGATGAGTAAGGGATGCTTGTTCATACCTGAGCAGGAAAGTGCCCAAAAAAGCATCGATAAAGGCAAAGAAAGGCATCAAAGACAAAATCCAAGAGGGCAAGAAGATCTTTTAAAGTCCTTAAATGGGGAATGTTAGTAATGGGGAATAAAGTTAAATGGGGAATATCAGCACGGGGAATCACAGGGTATTTTTTCTTGAAGGGCTGAGTCAAGATCAGCTAAAGGAGCCTTCTCTGGCACAGCTCTGCAGCCTCACACCCACTTTGGCAGGGCAGACACACATCCATGCCCAGCAGAGCCTGAGGGGCACCATCCCTTCCTTGATGAGGCACAGCAGAGCCCTGACCCTCTCCATCTCATCCCTTCTCCATCTCATCCCTTCTCCAGCTCATCCCTTCTCCAGCTCATCCCTCTCCAGCTCATCCCTTCTCCATCTCAGCACTGGGGCTGCAGGGAAGGGCTCAGGAAGGACACACACCCAACTCCACAAACACCAGCCATGCTCCTGCTCCTCAGGGTTCTACCCCTCATAGATGGCAAAATCCCCAAACTGCTCCCTACAGCAAAGGGTGGACAATGCCCCACAGTGCCATCTCCATGAGGAGGGCATCTGCCACCCTTCACCTTCCTCAGTTCATCCTCCTCCTCCTCAGGAGCCTGCCAAACCCTGATAAACAGAGAAAAGCACAGCACACCTGGAGATTTAACAAAGTGAACAGTGCACCAGCAGGGACTGGCATTGCTGGGCAATAAACYAGAGATATTTACTACTTTTACCCAAATGGGTTGATTAAAACATCRTCTGCATGCAAATACCTCCAAGAAATCAACCTAGGAGGGYTTGAAAASARTTTAGGAGATAGCCATGGCCCAGAAAGATTTAAATCTACTCCRAAGCTCTTCACCTCAGCAAACTTTCACAAGATGAAGTGTTGCTCAGAGCACACATCGAGGAGGAAGGTGCTTTTAAGTAGCTCAATTTGATGGCAAGTTATTGCTTTAGCCCAGAGATCCAGACCTGCAGGGACACAGGCTCTGCYCCCCGATGGATAAACACCTCCTCTAGAAAACCTTACAGGGGAGAATGTTTCTGGTAAATAATTCTTT